TAAAAATGATATTTGAGCAAAGTTTAATTGTAATTTAATAATTAAAATTAATTAATGTGATCGAGACTTTACTACATATACTTAATTAAGATCGAATTATGTAAAAAAAGAGACACACCAACCTCTATATCATTGCTCTACCATATTTAGCTTCTACCTTCCGTACAATATGAAAAAAGGATAACAATCTTGAAATTAAGCAAGCTCAAAACTCAAGAAGTCAATCGGCATCTTAATTAATCATGCATCGTACGTAATTAATCACACAACACACAAGAACCGTATACATTACACCAAAGTAACATGCATATACATAGAGATCCGGCTTGAGAGATCATAATCACATATACATGTTAAGGCTAGACCCCCAGCACATATAAACATGAAGGACACAAATTAGCTCACGCATGAAGCCTAAAGTGGAAGCAAAGGGCCAAAATTCACGGCACAAATGGCTCCGAAGGGAACATTATGCTCTTTTAAATGTTGAGGTAATTTAGTTCAAATGAAAAGAGTTTGATTTTTTTTAAAATAAAATTTTGATTTTGAATTTAATAAATGAAAAAATAAATACTTAAAAAACTTTTCCCATATGGGATCCAATTCGATTCGACTTTAAATTAATTATGATCCAATATAATTTTTGAATACTAAAAATTAATGAAAAAAAAAATGTTGAGGTCGTAAATATGATTGCTTTTGTCGCCGACATACACCACACACCCCCCACAACCCCACGCTTCCCTACTCTCACATATATATATATATATATTCCAATTCCGACTTTTAAAATACGACGGCGTTTTTTGGCTTTCGCCGACAAATCCTTCATATTATGCAGCTGCTTAGCTGCCTTTCAACACTATATATCCAAGCATTAATATATCTCATCTTGGGTATTCTGTTATCGTAATTCACGTGGAGGTTCATTATTTTTTGAATTATTGCATGCTTATTTTATTTGAATCCCAATTCAGTTCTTGATGTTAATATTTATAATAGTTGTAAGTCAATTTAAGTTGAATTTGTTAGAGTTTAAACTCTAAAACGTCATAATCTTGGAACCTTAAATGGATAACAAAGTACATTATTGGTAATTATGATAGACAAAACATGTTTCCGCGGTTCGACCAATATTTTACGATTTACAGCAAATATATAAATATATTTCAGTAATAGTTAAATATAAAAAGAAATTAATTCTCAAATTTCCTTTGAATTCATTGCATTTTTCATTTTTTGTAAAAAATAGGAAAGTTAGCATCAGGAGAATGGGACAGTGGGTGTCGTTGACAAGTGAGACGTTGGGTGGGCCAGTTCACGGGAGATGGGCCCAAGGTGAATTAAAATATCGGCCTACTTTGTCGATCAATTTGGTCTGGATGTGGGCCCAGAGGGCGAACCCACCTAAACCAAAGGAATGGTGATTTAACCCACCTGACGTGGGGGCCTCTACAACCTCACCTTAACGTTTGTGGTCCAGGACCCGTCAACGCGTCCGATGCTTTGCGGGTCGGGGCCCCACCCACTCCCTTCCATGTGCATTTGCCTTTGGAGTTTGGACCCTGACCGTTCCTTAACACTCCCAACCCAAACACAATATAATTGAAACGATCTAATCTGAAAGTCATCAGTAATTTAAAAATTTTTTAGGTTGGCTTTAATTTATAGTCATTAATTTACACACTAACTAATTACATGTTGGTTTAAATAAAAAAAAAATTAATTTTCATTAAATAAAATTTTGAGTTTAAATCTTATAAATAAAAAAATAAGTATTAAAAAAAAATCAAATCGAAATTAATTGGATTCAATATAATTATTAAACATAAAAAAATTAGTATCAAAAAAATTAATTTACACACTTATATAATAATTTTATTAATACTTTTATCTTGATGTAAGATTTGAGGCATCATGATAATTTTCTCACATACAAAGCTACCCCCATCTCTGCGTTTTAGGTAACATTCAAAGACTAAGCTCTACCGACATGCACGGTTTCTTCCTTCTCTTATCCACTTCCCTAGCTTTCTGGACTTGACTCATCAATTACCCAAACCATGATTCCGATATAGACCCGTCTAGTTGTCCCAGCAAGCAAGAGACAAGACGAAATGTTTGATTTGGTAGACCAATTTTTCAGCCTAACCATGAATTTTTCCTTCTCGAAGGTCATTTTCCCCTTTGTTATTAGGTTTAGTAATTTATACATTTCTCGGCCCTCTGGCCAAGATTAAATTAGGTTTAGTGATTTTTCTTTCTTTGTTATTGCAGTTTTTTCCTGCGGTCAGTGGACCTAGCACTTCTAGAGAAAGGAGAGAAGGTTGGAAGCTCAGTGAAGGTAAAACAACCCAATATATCTTGTTTTGTTTTGTTTATCTAAAAGCAGAGATAGGGTCCACTTACACAACTATGAGTCTTAGAGTCTTACATAAATTATTAGCATTTGATTTTACAATCAACTTACAAAGGTACAAGTCATATATAAACATAACATCATTAACTCAATCGTTAGATTGTAAAGTTAATAGTGATAATTTTTATTATATTTATATGTGAGTAAGTAAGTTTTAACTCCTGAAAGAATGACTTGTTTATTTATAAATATAAACCTGATTATCATTGCAGAGAGTTCAAACACTAATTGAGGAACAACATTGTTAGACAGACATAAGAACCCATTGATTGAGGTTAGTGAATCAAAATTCAGTATGAAATGTTTAATTTCTTGCTTCTTATGCATGTTTACTTGACATTTATCTTTTGTTACTGGGAATATATGTTGCCAACAGATATCTTTTTAGAGTTGTACTGTTCTACTTGACAATTGACATACTTAGTCTTGAAACTCCAATCAAAATACAAGTTTCTGTTATTGATTTCAGACATTAGGAGCAAGCAGGAAAGAAAAGGAACATATGCAGTTAGTGATGTTACATACTTAAAGTAGGCTTGAACTCCTCTATGTGCTCAGTGGATAGGTCACGCTATTCCAAGAGTAATAAGTGGAGCTCACCCAATTTTGATTCTGATGCTGACCTAAAAAAACAGATATTAATTCTAAATCAATGTTTTCTTTGTCAAAAAAAAAAGAAGAAAGAAAGTAGGCTTGGATTCTTCACTCCTAGAATGTCATGTTCGAATGGGCTTATTTTGAGCCTTCACATAATGTTTGTTATCTGAAAATTGCATTGCTGATGCTTTAATGAAAGTTTTCCTAGAAAGTGAAGAGGCCCTTTTTAAACCAAGTTTGCTCATTTTACTTCCAATATGAAGCCTTTAATGGAATTTTTGTCAGTAAATACAATACACTATTAGTCCAAATTCAGAATGGACATAAGGCCCATGTTCAAGTTCTAGGTGACTCTGACCTGTGAAATGAATTCAGACATCACTAGCCCCATATACCCAAACCTGAATTTAGCACTTAAAGAAAGCAATCAAAGGATCTTGTGTAAAGACCATAGCACATTGAAACAAATTATGGGTTGTTTTTGGTGTATATGACATCCTTAATTTGGAGTTTGGTCTTTATATATAATATATTTGTTTACGGATATGGTAAGTGCTATTGTGTTTTGTTCGATGGAATGGCTATTCCACATTTCTACGTCTCTTGCGTAAAGGAAGAGGAATAGTAATGCGACCTCCCCTTATGTTTTAGCCATTTTTGTCGTACTTATTGAGGAGGCGGCTTTTTTCCCCCATTAATCCTACTAGGCGATACTCTTCCACTATTTTACATTATTGTCTTGCAATAACCAATGAATGGCAAGGCCAAAAAAAAAGAAGAAAACATGGAATAGCCACTCCTATGAACCACTTCTATTTATTTATTTTACATTTCCCCTTCTGTTTCTAAAAAGGCATTTATTTACTACAATATATGAATGTTTTACATGGACAACAACTCATGGGAAATTAAGTTATGTTATTCTGAGGGACTTACCCCAGTTGAGAAAAAAAGAAGGGTTCTCATCATCTGGGCTAACACTAACTCTTGGGCATTGTATTATTATCATAATGACTTGTCTTCATTATTATGTCTACTGATTTACTATTGTGATTGGAACAATTTCGGTATCTGTTAAATGCTTCTTAGAAAATCCATAGCTGTATTGTGGAATAAGGAGCTCAAAGGCAACAACAGAGGACTGAATATGCGTTTAATCTGCACAAGCACTAACCATTGAATAATAGCATTGGACTGAGTATTTCAGGTATCACCTCTTCTCTTTAATTTCTTACTTCCCTTGAGTATCTGTTATTCATATCTGGTTAAGAGTTGCAACCACTGACTTTGACTCTAACCTTCCATCCCAAGTTCAAAATGGAGTAGAAAAACTACAGAGAATAAAAATCCATAAAGCTCTTGCACATGTATATGATTTTGACGACCTAAGAGGATGTCAAAATTTTCTTCTAATTAGTTATTAATCTTGAAGTGTACAAATATTGAGTTAGATGAGAAAGGGACGAAAACTGATTATTCAAAGTACAAGTGACAAAATATTAATGTTAGCCTTAGTCCAGGAAGAAAAGTCTCAAACTTTGTACCTTTCATTTCATGTCAATCTAGTGATAGTTGGGTAGTGGTTGCATGTCATTCTCTACTTGCTCTTCAGGACATGTCTCGTTGGTAACCAAATGCTATGCGTTTCTGGGAAGCAAAGGTTTCAAATTTTGGCTGAGAAAATAGAGTTTGGCTTACTGATCTTAATTGACTTTATGCTGAATCCTCTGCATGCAGTGATAGCATGTGATAGGGTTTTTACAATTTCACACCCACAATATTCACTTCCATTTATTTCTCTCCCTTCTTGGGGAAACAATTCCAACTGGCAACGTTAGTTGAAATTTTAAAAGGAGGATGAATGTACTACCTCTATTATCATCCTGTTAAAGTGCACTCGGCATATGGGCGAATGGTTCTTATCATCCTGTTAAAGTGTAGTTGTTTTTTTTTTTTTACTGAGATTGGTTCAAGTCTCATGATATTTAGTTAAAAAAAAAAAAAAAAGGGTAAAACGCAGAAAGTAGTAGAGCAATATGGGTTTGTGCATGATGCATCTCTGTTGATGTTCGAGTGCCGGATGGAATAAAACTAATGTTTTACTTCATTTTTTGGCTGGTAATTTCATTTTTTACACGAGATTTTCAAAAAATATAATATTTTTAGTTCACATCTCATCTTTAGACTTAATGACAATTGTCATGATAAAATGCGTATCTTTTTCTTCTTAGACGAGTTCGACACATTTCATGATCAATTGTTCAAAAAAAAAAAAAAAACTTTTAATCCTATGACCTTGACCAAGCTGTGGTTTGCGCGTATTGCAAAGGCAAACAGATCTCTAGAGACATGCCATGGAAAGTAATTACTAGTGGGTAAATGTCAGTTTTCAATAGTTATTACTAAACTCGTTCTTTTCAATGATCAATTAAATCTCATTAAATGTCAATTGTCAGTTAGTACGTTATTAGTCAATGTCGATCCTCCACCCCTATTACAAATACAATGCGGTCCAACCAAACCAACAAGTATAAATTAATTACGTGATTAGAAATTTAGAAGGGTACGATGTAGTTATTGTTATAATTATTATTACATTTATTAAATTTATTAAAATATGTTAAATGCGCCTTATCTTTTGTGTCTCGTGGGATTAATCATATTAAATAAATACACTTTTTGTTTTTTTAAGGTGAGTTTGATCTGCCTCATATTAAATTGTTTTAAAAAAATAAAATATGTTAAATATTTAATTTAATTTAATTATTAAAAATAATTAATAATTAATAATAAAATTAATTTTGTGACTTAATGGTTATTAACTTTTGTTAAAAATTTTATAATATTAAATTTAAGGTATGAGATTTGAATTTTACCTCTAACGTTCAAAATAATAATAATTAATAAAACATTTAATATTAATTATTTAATAAATTAAAATTAATTCATAGATAAATATTTCTGAATATTATAATTAATTATTAAAAAATTACAAATAAATAAAATTACATTTAATTAAGGACCTTAGCAAATTGAATTATAGCAATAACCTGTAGCGCTGAAATGTTCTTCTGAAAAAATAGTGGTTAGGTTCGAAAGCAAAAAGGTAACCCAACATTTCATAATGTCCTAGTCCAACACGCGATGACGCGAAGCTTGGCTTGGTAAAACTAGGGGGACTTGGTAGCCCAATGATTCGTCTCAAGTTTAAGAGTTTGGTGATTATCAAGTTCAACTCACCTTTATATGTTCTTTTTGTACAAGGATAGAAACTACTAGTTGGTTGTACTATTACCTCCCCCCTCAAAATTGCCCTTGTTCCAAAAGGAAAAGGTTAAAATTTTAAATCTATGAGGTTAGATTTGCTTCAATTTGATATGTTGATTTTTTTTGTTAGCTGTTGTTTCAATTATACCTTTGATTTTTTGCAATTGAGGCTTTGGTCCTGTGGCCAAGCAACAAATTGAGACCTCTCAATTTGAAGAAAATTGGAAAAGCAATAGGATTCACTTGTGCAAGTGTTAAGTTTCAAAACCTGACATTAGCCAGTGATTTTTTATAGGCTAAATCCCATTAAGTCTATTCTTTAAATAAGAATGTAAAATAGATTCATCTTGTAAAAAAATAAATATATTGTTTTTTTAATGATTTATAAAAATAAATCATCCATTATTTAATATATGATATTATCACACTTTAACTTTCCTTTAAAAACATGCTTAAGTGATAAAAGAATTTATAACGTATGATGACATCAAACGTTAAATAATAAGTTATTGGAATTAATCGATATTTGAAAAACAATTTATCTTTACATTTTTTTAAGGGCAAATCTTTCCTTGCATTTTCATTTGAGTGATAAATTTGAGGGTTGTGCCTTTTTTTATACTATGATATTATAGTTGCAATGTGGATGACTTGTCCTAATAGAACTTAAAAACATGGTCTAATATGCATTATTAACTTAATTATTTATTTAAATATTATATGTAACATATATGCTTTATTATGCATGTTAATTTTTATATTAATTTTATTTATATACCATATATAAAAGTATTAACATGCATAAAAGTCAAAACCAACAAATTAATAAATCTGATTTATAAGATTAGTGGAAACAATACTACTTACTACTTAATCAAGGTAGGATGGTTATTGGTTTCATTTCCTTCTTTGTTTCTCAAATATTATTGTTTGTTAAAAAAAAAAAAAAACAAATTAACATGCGCATTATTAACTCATCAAATGTTTTCATCTTCTTCACCCGTGGTCCCATTTTGTTTCTAATACTGAAATTTAGATGTAGTAGATGAACTTCCAAATTTTTATTAAACGAGGAAGAAAAAATGACACCAACTTCCTGATTTGGTGTACATTTGCTCGCTAGCTCAACGCACGAACTTATCAAATTTCCATGTACTGACCAACGGGGGAGAAGAACATGAAACCAAATCCAATTGAAGTATCATTGATATTTGAAATTGAAGTCGTCAAGTTTCATGTTTGCCTAGAGAGAGTTAAAAAAATCAAGTGTTTTTATTAGTTGTGTTGTTAGGTATGAATTTAAAGCATAATAAATATATTTTTTTATTATAAATTTATATTAAAAAATAAAAATTAATTTTTAATTTATTAATTATTTAATTAAATTTATTTATTTAATATTAATATTAAAATTAATATTAATTTTTATATTTTTATATACATATTTATAATAAAAAATATTTTTAATATATACCTAACCTAACAAAAATTCGTTGGGCTCGTCAACCTAACCCTAATCCAAAATGTAAAAACATGTTAGGAACTATATATCATAACCGTAATTCATAGAGAACCCATATTATCAACTCATAAGAGTCACAAGTTGGGTTAAGATCGATCTGCGAGTTGACGGGTTGATCTATTTGTTTTATTTATTATTATTATTTTTAAATATAATACTTATTATTTTTAATTAATTTTTATATTGGTAACTCCTTCTATTAATTCATACTCTCTAATTTATAAAGAAAGATAAAGAAATTATGATGAGTTTGGTCTAATTATCCAAGTATCATTTTTTTTTAGTATTAACAATTACCCAAGTATCATGGATGAAATGATATTACAATTAAAAATATTAAAAGATGTGATACTATGATATAAATATAATAACTTAGTGAAAGATGTTCTTGGAAAAACAATTTCATCATTAAAAAATGGCTTAAATTACTTGATAATGTTTTAAGATAATTATAAAATTAAAACTTTATTTTCCAAGAAATTTAAATATTTTACGTTTAATATTGTTATTGTTAATCAACTTATTATTATTTATAACTTTATGATTTTTTTCTTAATTTAATTATTTGTGGTTGAGACTATAAAATATTTAATTTTAATTAATCACAATACTTTAATTAAATTTAAATATATATAATTTTATTTGTACATAAGAAAATTAATAAAAAATAATTATAAAAAATAAAAATAAAATCAATCAATGAATTAACCTGTTACCCATTAAAATCCGATTAAAATTAGATTTTTTTTATCCATAAATCATTTATAACTCGACCCATATAATTTATTACTCAAATTGACAATCCGACCTAATCCGTCCATTTGTCCGATCTAATATCCTAAAAAAAGTACAAAGATTGTACCCCAAAAAAAGTACAAAGATTAGTTATGACTTAAAAATTAATTTGTACTAAAACTTATTCCTCGCTGGCGATCTCGCATCCCAAAATTCGTACAAATTATATTTAAAGCCTTAAAAAGGTATTTTAAATGATTAAAAGTTAGAAGTTGTTAGTTAATTAATGATTTCGAATTTAAAACTTAATACGGATGGCTAGGAATTAGGTAAAGGAAAAGATTATGTTTTTGTTATATAATTTATCGATTTAAGAAAGGATTTTTTTTAAATTTATGTTTTTAGAGTATAGATTAAAAATATTTTTTTATAATAAATTTATATAAAAATAAATATTAATTTTAAAATTAATATTATGTAAATAAATTTAATTAAATAATTAATAAATTAAAATTTTTTTATTTTTTCAAGATTTTTAATTTATATTTTAAGATATAAATTAAAAAAACTTTTATTAAAAAAAAAAATAAACGATGTGAACTTGGTTTTTTAGATCAAGTGACTTTAGTTACTCTTATAAGATTCATTCCTCATCTCAAGGGCGACGGTTCGAACCGGTCCTTGATAAAATGTTAAAAAAAAAATAAAATGATAAACGATGTTTAATGCGGCATTGCACCACCCAACCCTTGGGTTGGGACTAGGGACAAGCCGCCTCCCCAGCCGCCTCTCATCCACCC